CATGCATAGCAACAGATCATTGGCTGCTGTACAAGTATATCAGGGAATACACACGCATAATAACAATGTTGCAATAGGATTTAATGGCATTGTACAATTTTACACTGAAAATCAGATCAGTCAAGAGCACCTGGCATTCATTCCTATGATCAATTTAGGCATACTCAAAGTATCTACTAAAGTTTTATTTCAACTCGTACTGAAGCTGTATAGTATATGCCCTAAATGAATCACTGCCGAATCATTGACTGAATTGAATGCAATCCACAATGGAACACTCTGTGACGTGTGTCCCTAGTTGTGCAGGATATATACTTATGGACACCTGGTCCTGGTCAATAATTGGTATGAAGAAATGTTGCTGGGGCTCGCCGGGGCTACTGTTGCCGTGGCCATGCCGGGGCCCTTGGCCCCGCCGTGGCGTTGCTCCCCACCCACGAGTGCTTTGGCAGCCCATGACCATGCATTCAACATGAGGCATTCTAAACATGCGCCGCACATGAGGGTTGTCCTATACCATTATGTCTGACTCAGCTTTGGCATCTCCAGACAGCGCAGTTGCCTATGCTCTTGAAACTGCAGCTGGGCAATATAATCCTCACCGCAAGATTGATGACAATTTGCGACGCGAAATTGATCACATGATTGTTGTTGTCAAACGCGCCCAGCAGCTTAAATGTACGCCTCGTACTCTAATAACTTGGCATTGAGCTCATAATGCGGCAGATCGTGTCCCATGGGATTCCCGGACCTATAGTGCAGCCACAGGAGCTCAAAGAGGCGATAGTGCGGTTGCAGAAGAGCGTCTTCAACGTCAATTCCCACCAGAGCATCATAGCATATGTGACCCAGCTGTGCTTGAGGATGGTGCTGGAACAGTTGTAGCCTACTATCTGCCTGATGTTCTCCTTGATCAGCGAAAGGTGTGGGCACTGTTTCATGTCAATACATCGTCATCAGATAATAATCCGTTACAGGCCATCATTTCCGGTCTCATGCAGACATTGCGTCCATCACTAAATGAGAACTGGCTTCATGGGGCACATCGCTCTGAAGGGGCATGGCGCAACAAAGAACACCACTTTCTTTCACAGCATGACTGCCCTACCTTTGGCCGTGGCAATGTGACGGCATCGCCTGCACGGCATGTGCAAGTGTGAAATGTATGCGCCTCTTGAATACCCCCATCTATTTGCTAATGGTAATCTAGAACTTTGACGATAAGCTTTATGTCTCCGCACACCTTGCACCGGGTTCCAAGAAGAAACCCAGCCACGGCCAGCTCGCATTCCAGCAGTTTATTCGCGACCACATTGAAACTGGCTGTCTGATGTCTGTGGCGCTGGCGCTCACCCACCCAGAACAGTATGCTCTTACGCGTGCTGCACTGGAGAAGTTGTCTGCTATTGAGCCATTCTGCGCTTACATCCGCCAATGGGCCTTCGCCTTCAATGTCTTGACGGTCGTTGTAAATCGCGAGTCACTGGTCCACCGTGACAAGCAGAGTGGAGGTCCAGAGTGGTTGGACACATTGTTAAGTGTAGGCGGTGATGATAATACCGTCTTGGAGTTGCGAGGGGTCGGAGTTCGCTTCAGATACAGATCCGGGACCATGGTCCTCTTCTCCGGCTATACCCATCTCCATGGTGTCAGTCCATCTAAGACAGAGCGTGTCTGTTTTGCAGCTTATACTTGCCCTTCAGTTCTTCGAAAGCTACGCATTCATTCCCCCGATCAACCCACTATCAATGCTAGCCTTGATCACATTGGTTGGATACAGTATATAGAGGATATTCTGGCTTGGGCACACATGTAGTACAGTATAACGGTCCTTGCGTACAAGCAATGAATTGCAATGTCGTATCTCAGGTTATAATAGATGGAGAAAGTCAGGAGCATGTACAGAATTAAGATCAATGAGTGATCGAGGGAGCCGCGGCTCGGGGCCTACCCGGGGCTCCGAGCCACCCCGTGGCCCGTGCTCCCGCCGTGGCCTTTGAGTGTCCTCCTTCTGCACTTGTGAAGATGCAGCACTCGTGAATGCCCGCAAGTCATTGAAAACAGCGTCCGGAACGTGAACATGTGGATGATCCTGGAAATAGATGTGTAGAAGCTCAATCTCACAATGATGCACCTCGGCTTGTAGCATTAAGCGATGCTCTCGCCCACTCTGCTCCAGAGTATTGATCCCTGCAACAAGTGCTTGAAGTTCGTCGACCAAGGTAGGGGTATGTGACATGCTCATATCCTGCCAGCGCTAGTGACGATGTAAGCTTGAGGCAAGCACAAGAATTAGTCTATACTTACCAGGAGCCTAGTATAGAGTTCTGCTGCATGAAACGCATCCAGACTGGCACTAGGCTGGCAGAGTTTTTTGTCTGGGTTCAGAAACCAGTCGTTCATGACCTCCGACATGACTGACTCCGATGCAGATAGATGGAGACGGAAGAATGTACACAGTTGCAGGATAGCACGAGAGATTGTCACGGGTGATCCCGACGGATCAAGGAAGTAAGGTTTGCGATCGAAGGCGATCTCCTTGACCAGTCGGACGCCACGATTGCCAGGATTAGTGAAAGAACAATAGATCTCTTGAACATTGCTGCTCGGAGGTACACCTTGTATAGCCATGTAGCCACTCAACTGGCACATCTGGGCCTACCAAGAAATCAGAATTTGTTGACCGGATTAAGTATTAAGCGAACCTGCTCGAAACACATTCCATCAGTCAGCTGCTGTTGAAAGACAAACTTCGGCTCTGAGTCATAGATTGAAAATTCAATTTGAGGCCGTAGTTCATCAACAATTGCGTTGATTCGCGATCGAATGAGCTGCCACTCCAGTTCCTGGAGAGTGCGATTACTGGACATGATGTGGTTGTCGAATGAGATTGCCATGTGGGAAAGTATCTTATCAGGGCGGCCGATTGGCGTGTCATGATGCTGAGAGCATGTGATCGCCCTTTCCACAACGCAAGCACTCTCAAATCCGATCCT